CCCACTGAGTGACTGTTATATATGCCGATGTTCTTTAACAAGTTCAGCGTTAGGTGTGGCAAAACAGTCTGTATTAAATACATCTTGATGCAGGAACAACGTGGGGAAAATTGTTATTAGCTGGTGCTTAATGAATGGCTAAATAAAACAATATTTTGCTTGTTTTTAATCGGATTGGTCTGACCTGAAGACTAAGTGCATTCAGTGGTTTTCCTTTACTAACTTCTTTGTTCTTTTGTGATCAAGCTGTGAGTTATTGATGTTGCTTGCGTGTTACAACTTTTTCAGAATGTTCAGTCTATAAGAAAGTGCTGGATTCTGAGTGAGAAATAATATTTGGCTGTGGATTTGACTATTTCAATTTCTAAACTTGTACATTGTATATGAAAGCATTTCTTGCAGCTACTTTTTGTTGTATGATTTTCTTGTTCCATTATAATAATGTTAATAAAGTATGGGATTTTATCAGCATGCACAGTTGTTTTTTTAATATATTTTAATAACTACTTTCTTGATCCATATCTTTAATTTGATTTTCTGGTTCCATTATTATGTTAATAACCAACAGGATTGGATCAACATACAGAGAGCTTTTATTTTAGTGACTACTTTTTTGGATCCATTCTGTTTGATTTGCAGCCTCACTGACTAAGATACAACTTATAAAGTGTCAGTGAAGTTCTCTAAACATGTGATTCTCAATGACGTAAAGATCAAAAGTCTTTTACCAGTAGAATTTATATGTAGTATGTTAGCTATAAAGTCGGAACAGCAAACTGTAAGAGACATCTAAATGAGTAAAAAATGTGTTTTTGTCCCTTCTAAAATAACTATTCCAATGATTTGCAGGTTTAGAGAATGGCACCAATGATATGTTGTTGTTCTGTTTTTGTTTGACTCCTCTTCGACTTTTCCTTGGTTGAACTCTTGATTCCTCTTGACTCTTTTATTTCTATAAAATGAATTTTTTACGATTCCATCAACACAATTTTTGATCATTTAGGAGGTGGACTTCTTTGAGCTTGTCATCAGCGCCCATCTAGGCTGAGTGGGATGCAACATCCGAGCAAGCAGATGGAGATACATATGTACTGATAACTAACTGTGTCACTCGGAAATCAAATTTCTGTAAGCAATATCAACGAAGGGCCAAATTAGAATTGCTTTCTGCCGGCCATTCAAAACCTACCGTATAGAAATAATCAAAAGCAGAGCCCAGTGGCACAGATAGAATATGGTGACCTTTGATAATGACGTAAAGAATCTATTTTACAAGACCACAACCATCTGATGCAAAGTAAAGGAGAAAATCCCCCCCCCCCCCCCCCCCCCCGATAATCATAGAACCTTGAGAAGAACAACTGGAAATTTTAATCAATTTTTTTCCCTCAACACACTTTATGTCTCTATTTGAAAACACACATCTGTGTTGATTTTACAGAAGAATGTCGATCAGAGGAATAAAAAAATGTAAATTTGCAGGTTCTACAGATACCTTTGCTTTGAAAGTAAAAAATTTTGCCAGCCATTTTCTTGGTAATTTTATCTCTGACCCCAGGCAACCCCCACCTCCTTCAATTGCAAATATCTCGACTTTTTTTCAAGATAGATTGGTATTTTTTTTTCTTCACTAAAACCCAGACAAATGAACAAGCTTTATTAAGACGATAATAACAACTCCATTCGTCAAAAAAACTGACGATTACCTTTTTCTTCTTACACTGGGTCATGATATCATGTTTAAAAGACTTATAGTTTCTTTTAAGTATAGTGAATTTGAAATTCATTTATACCAAATCTAGAGATTAAAATCAGCAACACATACTGTTAACAGAACATAAACAACAAAAGAGCACCAGTTTAACTTAAAGCTTGAACATTTATTTGCAATTGTGGAATTAAGTAAAATTTCATGACAATTTCAGAAGTCAAAAGTAATTTGACTCTCTAAATGTGATGCTGCATTTCTTATATAGACAAACATACAAGCATGTGTACAGACGTCTTTGACAAAACACCAGTTGCATCAACCAACATAATGACCCTTCTCTGAAAGGTCATTTGACTATCATTTAGATGACCACACTCTCCTGTGTGTTGTAAAAGCTTTACAGCGCCCGCAACTTCCTACAAAAGAATAATTATATGTAGTTTAAACAACTACACTGTATATTTGCATAAACAGCTCAACAGGCTGCTTCAGATAGTCAAAGAAGTTGAAAGATTGTCTGAATTATATTTTTCTCCTTTTTTGGGGGGGGGTTGAAAGTGAGGTCACTGCCTGTTGTAATATGCAGGAAGCGATGAGTTTAAAAATCACAACCATGAATCAGTCAATCATTCATAAAAGACATCAAAATTTTACTGCCTTTCTACTTTCTTATCCAAAGGGAAACATTTCCATACACAAACAGCACTCTGAAAAATCTGTTTGCAGTTACTAGATTTTCTTTCACACTTTTGATAAAAACAAACTTTTGGAGAAAAAACAGTTTTATTAACCCTATCCGTACGTCGTGTTTTATTATCGTATCCATATGACGTGGGGAACTGTGTGCCACCACTTTCCAAAGAGGAAATTAACTCGATAATCTGATCTGAACGCTTTGCATAGCAGTCTGTCAAAATGGATTTTTGAGAAATACTGAAAGTTTCAAAGAGGTCTTCGTACTAGATGTATTCTAAAATGTGAAGAATACAAACCCGGGGGTACAAAATGACCCCAGGGCGTACGGATAAGGTTAATAATAATATGATAAAAGTATCAAACTGTGACTTGAAATAATGGTGGACATAAATGAAGACATAAAAATGAGTTATTATAAAATAGAAAGACTTTAAAACTACACGTTCATTACTAGAACATAAAAAAAAATAAAACTATACACAAAGCACCGAATTTGCAGTCCTCAAAACATATGATTATATTATGAGGTTTCCTGGTGAAATCAGGCGCTCGTCAAAATAATGAAATCGAAGAAACCGCCCTCCGATCTGGCAATTTAAAATTAAATTCTAGTTTTTTGGATCAACACCATATATGTCCATTCAAAACATATTTCGAGTGGATTTTAGTTTTACTGAAAAACGTTGATTAAAGTAATAAAAGGCACAAAAACTGTCAAATTGATGAGCGCCTGATTCCGCTGCATCGTGACACAATTATTTATAGCACGGACTTTACACTTTCCCTGCAATATATTGAGAGAAGTGATATATAAAGATTATCCAATTTCAGTTTGATTTAAGTGAAGAGAAGCACATGGACAAAAGAACAGTGAGTCATTGAATGCTGGGAAAGAGCAAAAAGGACGGAGAGATAGGAACCCCCCCAAAAAAAGAAAAAAAATAGGAACTACCACGGTGCTCTCTAATCATGCATTGGAATAGAGTCGAACTTTAACAAAAAAAACCCAACTTTATCATCTGTGTTGTTCGCTACTAAAACTAAAACATGCAAAGACAGGCAAAAAGTGAAATTTTGCCCCCAAACACCCACTCATCGCCATTAAGTCACATTTCAATCACTGCATATTGGGCGCAGATGGTTGGTGTAGTTTGCTCCACTACTTTTTTTCCCCCCGTACAAGCACCGACCTAATCTGTCTGGTCAAATGTGCATGGCTAGCTAGGAACTGAAACTTGAACTAATCAGAGCAAATTGCATGGTTTTTGTTCTCTATTCATTTCACCCCCCAGTTGAACTGAGTTGAAAATCAAATGTCTTGTTTACCCTTATCTACCTGATCCCCATACAGTACCAGATTAGAAACAACAAAATGTTTGTGTCATATTACATGTATATGAATTAAAAATTAATTCTTTGGGAACACATGAGACATCAAAAAAAGAAAAATTATTAATGAGACAATACTAAATACACACACCAAGTAGGCTATAAAGTAAACGTTCACTGTTTCTTACTGACATGCAAAAAAACCCAACTATTGTCTCAATAAATAAGTATTATTTTGATAAACTTGTATAGATTTTTAAAAGCTTGAATACATACATATAATGCTGCGTGATCGTGAATTATGTGACATTATATTTCATTGTTTGCATCCCTTTCCTCAAAATACTGGTCAGCAAAAAACTCTATTCATCATCATGTTCCTGAAAAGTTCAATACAATACAGAAGGAAATAATTATTGGTTAGACTTACTCAACGATGGGAAAACTTGGGATTGTAGATGCTCTACCTTCAAACAATACAATTTAGATCATTTACAACACAGACTGCCTCAGCTCTGCCTATATATAAGTTAGTATAAGGCCAACTTGAGCAGAGTGGGATACAATGCCTCAACAGACTCAGATGCTTAATGATAAAACTCCAAGGATGGGAATAAAACTCACTTTATTTGGGTGCAACAGCAAAGTGCTTTACCAACACACCACAATTGCAATTCTGTTTAGTCTGATCTTGTTTTTTTCTTCCCCAGCACTAAATGACCATTATTCTGTCATGTCTACTGAAGAAACCGAACAGATTTTCCATTTTGTTCCTTCTATTATCTTCCTAAATAATAAATAATGCAATAAAATGCAATGATGGAGAAGAAATATTTACGTTCCTCTCTTATTACTTTGCTTGCGCCCATATGAAGCTGAGCACTCAAGCACTCAATAAGTACATGATGTACATTCCATTGAATAAAAAAAACAACACATATATTGATATTGTTCAAAACTCTATGTGAGTTGTAGATGAGGAACATTTCTTTGGTTTAAGTTTAATTGGAGGGGGGAGGGGGCACATGTGAAACAATAAAGGCTGACTCATTAATTTCAATCAATGATTAAAGATAAATAAGTGACGTACATGTACATGAATGTTTTTTTGGAAGGATGAAAGTATTTTCTCTATGAACTATAAAACGCTTATTAAAATACTACAATGGAGCCACAGTAAGCTGTTGATTTAGAGATTGATAAAAAGACGAATACAAAATATTCTCACAACCTTGATTAAAGAATGAGGTATTCAGCAGCTTTTCTTTCATTAACAATTAGGCCTACAGTATTACCGGTACTGAGGTGGAGTGAAAACATGACCATGTATATGAACAAATATTTATATATACATATAAATATAAAAAACATCATATAATATATTCACCAACTTGAAGTACAAGCTCACTCAACAGGCATTTTTTGAAAAACTATTCTCAGATAATATACTCCCCATAAATTTGTGCTTTTAAAAAAAGAAGAGCTTAATAGCATAATGAATGCCACTCATTCATGATCTGTGCATGGGATCAATGCCCAATACCACTTTTAAAGCAAAACTGTCATTTAAGATTTACAAATTATAGCAAGGGTGAGCGTGATTACTTTTCTGGCCATTTTATGAGAGCTTCTTTCTCTATCCTCTCTCTCTCTCTCTCTCTCTCTCTCTCTCTCTCTCTCTCTCTCTCTCTCTTTTCTCTCTCTCTTTCTCTCTCTCTTAATCTCTCTATGTCTGTCTCAATCTCTCTCTTATTCACCATTTCCCCCCTGATTCCATTACTCTGTCTTTACCTAAGCATTCTTCATTTTTGTGCATTTGTCTACCTTTAACCAAAATGAGTATACTATAAATGATGCATTTCAGGAAAGTTTGTGATAGCAATAGCAGTGAATTCTGATACTGAGATCTGATCTAATCAGTCCTAACAAAAAGTTTTTTTTAAATATAAATTTTTTGTTTTGTAAATGGTGTCAATGAGAAAGTAAGGTATGTGACAGTTTTGAGAAAAATGTCTTTTAGCGTTGGTAATTGTAACTGTATACACTTTACGCCCCCACCAACACAATTTATATAGTTTATGAGGCAGGCATTGACCTTGCCTGTTAGGGCTTACCCAGACTGAGAAGGATACAATGTCCACGAAGACAGATGAGATTACATAATGAAAAAAGTCCTCACCCAGGAATCAAACTCACATCTGCTCCATGCATCAGCAAAAAGCCTAACCATTACACCACAGACATAAGTAAAAAGTATCATGTCTTGTTCCAGTGTAGTAAAGTTTGACATGATGTAAGCACAGAGCGGTAATAATACATTAATATGGGCAGTTGCAGTAGCACAGCAGATTACGAAGTATATGGCTTTGAGAACTAGTGGGGGTCGTTTTTTTATGCTGTGATCATCATTCTATTTGTACAATGCACTTGTGATTTAATTTTTGAAAAATTAAAAGGCTACTCCAAAGTGAAAGCACATCCTAAAAATGCTAGGAAGCTGCCCAAAAAAGGCAGAAAGTAGGAAGTCGTGTATCATAAGTTTACCAGATAGTTAAAAGCTGAATAGAAAAAGCACTATTTTCATTTGTACAGTGGAGTCAGCTTAGACCGAAATTTGTGGGATTGTCAGATTTTCTTCAGCTTAGCGGTGTTTTCACTCCAGAGCGGATGCTCTAATTCTAATTTTTTTTTAAATCAAGGATTTTACTTCCTTTCAAAACCAAGTTCGATTTAAGTGGACTCCACCGTATTTTGTTTTTAAATAGATTAAATGCATTCTCCTCTATGAACATTAATAGCTGAACATTTCAACAAACTGTATAGAAATCTAAGGGGTCACTCATGAACTTTGACCTCGCACTCAAAAATATTTGAAACAATTCATTTAGACTGGTCGATACAAAGAAAAATGTATAGAAAATAGGTCCATATCAGAGTTCAGGTGACTTGTATTATAATATATATCAATTTAAGGTTCAGCTAAATTGAAATGTCAAAAAAAAATGTTTTCGTATTTTCCGTTTGTTACTTTTTTGAATAGGCACTTAGAATAGATTGGCATATGTATAATACCTCTTTCAGCAGTACAGTACTATATTAGAGATGGGACCTCCAAACTTAACGTCCACTTCCAATAAGACTGAGCAAAGTGGTGAAGGAAATGCCTTGAAAACTCCAAATGCAAGGATGTTCCATAGTGGATTTGAACCAGATTCAACCACACTCTAGTCAGACAATATCAACAGAGCAAACTAAGCACCCAAACTATGGATGAATGTAATTTAAATTTTTTTTAAAATTTCAGTAAAGAGAAAGAGAGTACACATTGAAGAAAATTCATATCAATTATACTCCGTAGCCTACCTATAATAAAATGTCACAACTACCGAGACTTGAACTTTTAAAACCTTAACCGAAAAAGATCCAGCGCTTTACCAGCACAGGCTATGTGAAATACTTCAGATCTTTCAGTTCTTCTTCTCGGTGTTGAGGATGTAGATGTATCTGTTACACCCAACAGCGACTCGGGGGAAGTTTCCCTGTCTGTCATTATCGATGCAATAGACACCCTGGGGTAAGTCTACTAGCTGGCCTGTTGTCTGAGGACGGATCACAAGAACAAAGGTTAGGACTAGAAGGAACAGAAAATCTGGATTTGTTTGAGGGAATGGGGGAGGGTGGACTAGTTTGTATATCACAGGTAGAGGCCATTAACACTTTGCCCCCACGGGACACCAATCGGCGACAGAGTGATATAGTACGTACCGCATTTGTATCCTGGTTCGTGGGAATATTAGACTAGCATGCAATAGCAAACATAAGCATGCAACAAAACATGCACATGGTGAAGAGATTTTCAGGTCCCAAATTTTTTCTCTCTCTACATATATAGATCTATCTTTGTATACATCAAAAAGTTTACAACTAACTTTTATCAATAAAACATTAATACATCAACAACCCCCCCCCCTTCCCTCCAAGAAAAATGAGTACATTATAATAGAAACAAAGTTATAAAGAGTTTAAATTTCCAAGGTCAGTGTTCTCAAAACAAGGATAATGGCACTAGCAACAATCAGGTTTTCATGGTTAGAAACAGGATGCAAGAGAAAGCCCTAAATTAATAACTTACATTGAGAGTGCCTCTGTCAATGGTTCTGGCCATGTTTTGATCCGTTCCTCCACAAATGATGCTGTCTCTTCCAAGCCACTGAGCACAGTACAACTGTTGAGGAAAGAAGAAAGACAATTATTCCTTCTCTAATGTATAACTGATAATCAGTAACTTTTGAGGAACACATTTCGATTTTGTTGATATGTCAGAAATTAGAACAGTGTCCAAAGTTTGTTTCTTTATTTCCATTCAACTGCTTTTCTAACATCAGTGAACATCAACTTTCAATTTACATTTCTAATAACTGCCACTACAATGTTTATATAGTACCACCTGTAAAAGCTATTTGTGGCACACGTGGTGGAATCAGGCGCTCGTCAATTTTTGTGCATATGGGGTTATAGGTATCATCTTAAAGCCTGTTCATTTGCCTTGCTTTTGGTGAAACAAATATCCATCTGTGTTGAATAGAAGTCAAGATATTTGCAGATGAAATGAAGGGGGTGAGGTTGCCTGGTTTCAATGATGAAATTTGCGAGAAAATGGCCGTGAAAGTTTGGTAACTCAAATAGCTAAAGAGTCCTTGAAAACTGAAAAATGACATAATTTGTGCCTTTAATCAAAGTTTTTCTGTAATATTCACAAGGATTCACAGTAATGCTTTATATTACCTTGACAGAGCTACTCTCTAATTATGCCAAAAGAAATAGCCCAACCTTGTAATTTAAGTAAGAAACTAAAAGAAACTTTAATGTTTTGACTGGCAAACTGTATGTTTTAATTCTCATTATTAAAAAAGAATGTCTTATCTGCAGGATAGTATTTATCCCACAAGCTCACTGAAGCAAAAGAGTGGCAGGAAAGACGAAGAGAGACACTCAATAATATAAAATATTCATCACTCACCCGACTATGATTCAGTGTATCTTGGGGAACATCTTTGATCTTCATAGCCATGGCAAAGTCCCAGATCTGATGACATGAGGCAAAGTCAAGAATAAGATAAGACAAGATAAGATAAATCTTAGTCGTCAAGACACTGACACATTAGTTTGGTGTTTCATCTCACACTCCAACACAAACTCACACATACACACACCCTTACACACACACACACATACACAGAGGCTACAGACTCACAAAAGCATAGACACACACATATATACACATACTCTCTTCCACACACATATATACACAAACACACATAACAAACACGCCCTTATTCTCACATATGATTTTAACTCACCCCACGTGACTGAAAACACTACTTTTGTGTGAAGCAGACCATAGGCTAATTGAAAGAGTAACGATTTTTCGTTTGAAACAGACTATGACCAGAAATGCAATCCCAAATTTATTAGAACAAAATATTCATGAACCATCTGAGGGTGTGCGAATTTGAACTTCCTTTCTTCGCTTTTTGTTTACTTTATAACTCTGTATATAGAGTTTTTTTCCTCAGAGTATTGCATAAAACCTATGACAAATTTTGCCTTCAAATTTTCTATACACACAAAATATAAAGTTTTGAACAATATGTGTACCAAATTTGGGTAGGATATGTTAAAAATTAATATTTTTTTCAATTTTTCACAAAGCGGTAAAAATCTTTAGGAGAGAGCTGACAACCCGAAAGTGTTGGCCTATGGTTGAGTGAGTTAATGGAAAATTGTTAATTATAGTAACGTTTAAGCTATGTGGGTCATCGCAGAGTAGAATCAAGTACTCGTCAATTTTGGGGCATTTGGAGTTAAAAAGCTCTTTTACTTGTCTTGCTATTGAAGACAAAAATACTCATCAATCTTGAACATAGGAGTCGGATTATTAATGTTTGAAGGAGGTGGGCGTAGTCTGGTGTCAGAGATAAAATGAGCTAAGTCTGGGGAATTCCAAAGCATGAACATCCCTGTAAACTGCAAATTAAGATTTTTTGTGTCTTTGATCAACATTTCTCAGTAAAATATACACACAAATGTGGTTCTAAATGGACATGAAAGGTATAGTGCAAAAAATTTTTTTTTTAAATTACTCCTTTGCCGTTAAAAATGTCAATTTCTTTGATTTAATTATTTTGATGAGTGCCCGATTTCACCACAATGCCACACATATAAATGAATCAGTAATGAAAGAGGAAACAAATTTCAAGCATCTGAAATAATAACCATGTGATGCTGGAAACTTAACATGTCACTGTCTCAAAATGATCGAGTACGTTTAACTCCACTTGACCCTATTTTACAGAGTAGAGGTATAAAAACATTGGCGTTACTCCTTTTTCACATGAAAGCAACAAAATATGCATGATCTCACACATTTAATTCTTATAACGCAATGCCGAGTGAATTCGCATAAGCATCAGTGTACCACATTGACAATACATAAAACATAAGCACCATCAAAAGCATTATCTTTGTGAGAATTATTTTGAAACTCAAATTAAAGCCATATAAGACAAATAATTGTCAAATCAAATCAAACCACGAATTAAGTGTTGGGCAAAAAAAGCAGGACAAAATAAAATTCCCACTTCCCACTTACTCTAAAGGAAAAATACAATGAATGTAAACTACATAATACTTCTTACACATTCCACAATGTCCACATCCACAATTTTACTCTAAGGCAAAAAACAGGCTATTCATTTAATTAATAATAACGATCCAGGAGGCAAATTAATAGGTGACAGTTCAATCAGGCACTGAAGTATTGATAATATTTTATTTTTTTTACACAAAAAAAGAAAAGAAAAAAATAAACCAAAGAAATTTATTTTGCAAAATTGGAATGCTAGATAAAACTTTTACTTGATAGGCAAAAGTTTTCATACAAATCGTAACAAAATTACCTGAAGGACGTGTGTTTTTCGCCAAGAGCCTGTGAGTATGTGGTTGTGAACGGGGTCGATATCTAATGAATCACCACAAAGATGAGGCCCTGCAAACTTCCTGAGCAAGGACAAAAACAAAAACAGCGTGTTCATGTCTTCTGTTAGATATTTCAAAGAAAGAAAGAAACGTTTACTCACTCTAAAAACTAAAAAAAGATTTAGGAAGAAAACAATTTCTAATCTGAACTATTTATTTCTCTATAAGATGACCCAAAATTTACAACTTAATAAAAGAATTAGGACACAGTGCTTTAACTGTAAAAAAAATTGAAGTAACGAAGTAGATTCTGAAATATAAGAGCTGTCACTGCTTTTAAGTCAGTGATCTTGACATTTCACAAACACCTCTCATTTCTGACATATATATAACATAGGAGGAAAAACAAATGTAAAAGGAATTAAGTGAAAATTTTACTTTTTCCACTAATATCTCTCTGTTACACTGTTTCCTGAAAGTTTCATGTCAAAAGGATGGAAACTAAGAAGGAGTAGGGGAAAACTCAAGAACAAAAAAGACATAATATTGAGAAAAACAACATTTATTGAGAAAATAGCACCTGGCTATTTTTAGCCCTCACTTCCATCTGGCTGGGAAAAACTGGAGTCCTTGACCCATCAGGCCCAACTAATACTGATTGTCTCTGTAATATTTTGCAGACATTTTTAAAAAATGACATACTGCCTTTGTTTGAAGTTTTAGAAGATAATATGTAGGCTACGTTTCAGAGAAATTTGAATAAATTACAGTAAAAATGCCCAAACAAGTCTGAGGTGGTATTCATCATGTGAGGAAAATGACAGGGCCTTGAAGACTGAGAACTTGAGGGAAATACATGCCACAAGGGCTGTAAGACATAACTCTCTTCCGATGTATTGCCAATATATCGGAGCGAGTCCATATCAAGGCTCTTGCAGACGTATCGCCGACTTAGTTTTAATACATTTTAATTCTTTAAGCCCTGAGTTTTTTCCAACATTCCCTGGAGTTTTTTTATACAGTCACCAACACCTAGTGCACTATGTCTCATTATAACCCCAAAAGCTTGCCTCCAACTGCTAAATAGCTGAAACAAAGGCTTAGTCATTACTAAAAAACTTTGTTCTGGAATAGTTCCGGAAAACAAGCAAAAACTAACACTAAACATAACGAAACAGTTAATTGTCACTAGTACTGGACGCTCCTGGCATCTGATGGGGAACAGAACAGGGTTATTACCGTCGGATGCTCCCAGCGTTTGATGGGGTACAAAGAGTTAACATGATGCGTCACTTAATTATTGTTAGTAAAAAGTTGGGAAGGATTTAGGAAACCAAAATATCTAGTTTTACTTTGTCAGAGTCAGTTTGGTGGTGAAAGAGTAAATCAATTTTTTGCGCTCTTGAATCAACAGAATGATGTAACTGAACTCAGTAGAAATATCATAATTCAAACAAAAATTGGAATATTGCATTCAAATAAAAAGCTTGCTGATTTGCTTTCACACGTTTGGTGAGTGTAATTTTTCCATCAAAATTTATTTTTCTCATCCCCCATCACTCATTCTAACCCTAGTAATATATGGTTATATTCAAATTTAATCCTCGTTTCATGTTCGAATGTATTCCTCATTCAATTTCCTTCAATTTGATATATCATAACATGTTACCTTTTGAGTGATGTCTATGCTTATATGAAGTTATTTTGTACATCACCTGCATGGCCAAATCAAGTCTCAAGTAAATTACGTCTAGACCCCAAAAAAACTACGTCCGGAAAGAGTTAATTCAGATTAGTATTTCTGGTAGTTTTTTGAGGGGGTCTAAAACCCTACTGCAGAGGTAATAATGTAGCTAAAAATAAAACAAGCACACCTGAACATAGATCTTTCTGACAGACATTATTTTATTGAAGGTATTGCACTCAGTTCTAAAGCGCATTGTAGAAGGCTTTAAAGTAAAACAAAATCAAATTACAAGGTCTTTGAGCTTAAAACTATTAGTTGAGACAAATAATACATTATCCTTATTTCAGTGACTATAGTGGCTAGCCCAGGATAGGGAAAGGTGAGAAAGCCAGCCATGATGATGATGTGCGCTGTACTCACTTTACTGAATGGACTGCTCGATCATCCCAATACTGAAAAAAAATAAAAATAAATAAAAGAATATAAATTATATTAATACACAACAATTATATTTAAATTTATCAAAACCAATCCATCTAGTAAACTGGACTTTATGTTAAGATCAAAATAGGGGAAGCAGAAAAGCACCTGCTGTCCAGACAAATTAACACTTGTACACATACTACACACACCTACAGACGAACAAACACAACAGATCACATGTAAAACATGTACAAATGCTCAAAGTCAGTAACAGTACCTGAACGGTGTCATCCCATCCGCCTGAGATGAACATGTGTGGGTAGTTAGGGTTATACTGGAGGGCAAACACTCGGAGTCTGTGGCCATCCATGATGTTGTACGCGTCACTGAAACAAAGAGGAAAAAGAACTGTACAGTCGTTTAACACTTTGCAGTCGCACAGCCAACAGTACAAAATACCTTTTCTGATAATCTAGCCTAGAGAGTGACTGTAACGGACTTCTCGGGCCTGGCGCAGAAAGAACTGCGCCAGGAGACTGGAATGGATAATTGGTCGCTTTTAAGCACAAGGAGGCTATCCCGAAAAATGCTGTTTTGAGAAAATCAAGAGTAAAGTTTTTGCCCCTTGTTCAGCTTCTTTAAAAGACAAAGAGAGTTTTCTCTCTAACCAAACAATATACATACCATTGAAACCAAACTTCTCCTATAGGTAGGGAAATGTCTTCTTTTTGCGTAGGTTAAGATTTCTGGAAACCCCCAAAATCTGGTGTAGCCCGCTGTCCTTAAAAGCGACCAATTTTCACCTTCGCATTATTGTGGCAAGTGACTGCAAAGCGCTAACTGTCCAAGAAGGCCATCCATTGTCAAGGAGAAAAGTGGTTATCTTAGATATAGTTTAGTTTTGGGCATAATAAAAACTAAGAGGTCCATGTACTGATTTAGCTCATTTCCATTCTTTCATGGCCTACTGACTTATCCCCTTTTAAAAAATGTCAGTAATGCAGGTTATATCGCCGGCACAGTGCGGGTCATTATGGAGTCTGCCCATAATACAGGACTGGCTTGGTTCAGTGAGTTAATAATAACAATAATAATTATTATTACAATAAAGATTTTTTTCAATAATAATTTTTAAAAATAATAATTAAAACAAAATTTGAAATTTACTTTCACCTAATCCATTATACCTGGCTTCCATGGTGTTGACCCTCTGCTTGGTCTCCATATCGTACATATGGATCTGAGGCTCAGCCCCAGCGGTCAGGACGCGTGTCCCGTCAGTGTTCAAGGTCAAGGCCAGTAACTGCCTCACCTCATTGATGGTCTGAAGACATTTTCCTGACGTGTAGTGCCAGAATTTTACCTGTCCAGACGCATCTGCACAAAACAAGAAAAATCATTGTGTTCAGAAACATATCCAATATCTTATTATTTGCTATGCTCTGTCCATGTAATTAGAAGAAATAGGTGAACTCTTTTTTTGTTCCAAAACCATTGTTGAGGTTGATGGGTGGGTCCTCAAGAAAAATTGAGAGAATCTACGTGCACTATAAATAGTATGAAAGTGCAGTGGGATAACATTTGTGCCCACTCAATAATCTAAAGATGGATTTTTACCTGATGAAAGATTTTCAAGAAATATGTTGCACAGAAGACTTGACACCATCACTATAATTATATATTATGCATATATGTTACACGAAGTATTACATGAAAATAGATTATACTAAAAGAGCGTTTTTTTTACTTTGAATATATATAATAAACAACACCAGGGAAAATATGTTAGAGGAAAAAAATGGCCTTCTTTCTATCAATTTTTATCCATCCCTGCTTATCTTTTAAGACTTTTATATTTATTTTTTCTAAACTGAAGTGTAGAACAATTTGGATTTTTCAATAGTTTCAAAAATACTTAGATACCCATGTAGGCCACAAAGTACTGGTTTAACTTATTCATTATAAGTTGCATCAGCAAATTGTAGTCATCAGTGGCAAAATATACGTTTACAAAATCTCTCTTTCTCTCCCCCCCTCTCTCTCTCTCTCTCTCTCTCTCTCTCTCTCTCTCTTTCGTTCTCTATCTTTCTCTTTCTCTCTCTCTCTCTCTCTCTGTATATCTGTGTATATCTCTCTATCTGTGCCGCAATATCTTACAACAAGAAATGAGAATGTGATGGTATTCCGTCTTCTCATCCTCTGTGAAAGGACGGAATCGAATCTGAGTGACAGGAAGACGGCTTTGATTTGTGTCGTCATCTTGCAAACTATACAGCAACTGGCAGTTGGATGGATTATAAATCTGAAAACAGAAAAGAACCAAAGAAAGTGAACATATTTTTTTTAAATTTTACATCTTAACGAAGAATCGCAACAGTCTCTAGCTAGCTTGATCAGCATGTGTGATGGGGTGTTTAGACAATTTGGTGCTCCATGCAGAGGATTTGAGCTCAATTCCTGAGTGGGGAGAATTTTTTAAGCCTTTGTAACTGTGTGTGTCTGTGTAAATGTATCTGTCATTGTGCGTGCGTGTGTGTGTGTGTGAGAGCGTGTGTATGTGTGTGTGTGTGTGTGTGTGCGTGTGCCATTGTGTGTGTGTGTGTGTGTGTGTGTGTGTGTGTGTGTGTGTGTGTGTGTGTGTGTGTGTGTGTGTGTGTGTGTGTGTATGTGTGCCTTTGTGTGAGAGAATGTGTGTGTGTGTGTGTATGTGTGCCTTTGTGTGAGAGAGTGTGTGAGTGTGTGTGTGTGCGTGCGTGTGTGTATGGGGGGGGGGGGGGTGTATGTGTGTGTGATCTTATTTAAGTTCTGATGATCATATTCATAGCTAATTGTATAAGTTCACACAGGCATTTTTACTACTGCATAGCTTAGCTACTCATAATGTCACTTTAAAAATCCAAAGAAGATAATTGAATAAAATCTTTGTAGCAGATTGCCTCTTCTCCCCAGTAGGATAAGAAGAAATGGCATAGACATTTTATCACTCCTAAATATCTGAGACAGTGAGTAAATCGAGACAACAGCTGAGAAAGTTTTGAAATGTTACAAGTTCCGTAGGGAAAATTATAAATTGCAAAGCTCACAGAACCTATTTTTAGTAAGGAGTATACACAAATTCTGTGTAGATTCATACAGCTTTAATTGGATTTGAGCTCTCTGGTATTTCATTATTATCACTGGAATATATTTGTTTTGGACTAGTATTATTGTTATTATTATTGTTGTTATAATTATAATTATAATTATAATAATTATTATTATTATTATCATCATCATCATTATTATGTATCATTATTATCATTACTACTATTAATATTTTTATCATTATTATTATTGTTATAAAAAAAAGACAAAAAGTACCTTTATTGAGCCATCACACAAGCCAACAGCCAAGTGCGTTCCATCTTGGTTGAAGCGACAGCACATCACATCAGATGGCAGCTCTCTGTTAACGACGAGAAACCATGCAATTAAATCATCCATGACTTTAAGACTGAGACATATCATTTTTTCAATACATGTACCAACCTCCAAGCACAGACTTCAAAATTTCAACCGGCTTTTATATCCATATACTCCCTATAATATAATGGTGAACCGAGAAAGAGCAAAAGACGAAAGTAAGTTAGGGCATTTTTAAAAGCAACTTTCAGGAATGACTAAACAGCAACCCAAATGAGGGTCCACAAGGGGTGAAGTCTCTGTTATGTGTGCTAGCTCAAACCAGTAGCAATTGGAGGGTCCAAGTTTACTTTTACAAAATAAAATGTGGGAGCAAAATAAAGGCTACATATTGTGATAGTTTACACATTTGTTAAACACCCATTGAACAGGAGCACCTAAAAATGTTTATTTCACAATAGATTTACGTCGCAAATAGTAATGTTGGCAGATGGTTTTTAAAAGCTGAAGAAGTAGACCTACCACTTCAAGGTGAGTAACTTTTTGTTCAAGTTTGCTAGAGCAAAGAGATCCACATGTGTATGATCTTACGAGATATTCTTGAGAGAAAGAAAAATTCTAAGTTGACAAGTTTTTGACTGCTCTGACAAAGTAGCCTCAGCCTTGATGTTCTTACCAGTTAAAGTCTAAGTCGAAGTACATGTATGAAAAGATCGATTTCATGCTTTACTCCCCTATTGACACAAATTTGTTCATGTTCATAGTGAAGTGGAAGGGTTGCTTTGACTTTGCCAGTCAAGAAAACCAATACTGTGAAGAACACATTCAAACAGAGATACAGTCCAAGAGGGCCACCCATTGTCAAGGAGACAAGTGGTTGTCTTAGACAGATTGACATCTTGAATAGAGGAGGTGTGAAATGGGTGTTTGTACAGACGACCATCACGGACAAGTGGCCGGGCGAGCAAGTTCAGCTGTACCAGGTAAATTATATGTGTATCTTCCCTAAGAGAAAATCAAACTCACTGCACATCTCAAGTGTGAAAGGCAAGGAGTCTAACCACTACATAATAAACACTTTTTAAAGTGAATAAAATTTTCAGACACTGTAGTGACCTTGATAGTTTATATACTATCAAAACCGCAATAAGTGAGCAATGACAACCATTTAAAAGAGAAGGCAAGCATCAAATTTAACAAATATGAAACTGACAACACAACATATTCAATGAACATTCTTAACAGATTTACTCTATATTTGACAACGCCACCTCACCCTTTACAAAATTACAAATTATAAACTGACTAATTAGCAGCTAGTTCCAACATCGGGACATTATAATCAATATTGACGCAACTGATTACTTTTACAAGCTTCCTACCCAGACATAAATATCTGGTAGTGAATGATGACATTGCTTAGTTAATCATTTTAAACTTTTGTCACAGGGGAAATGTCAAGGTGCTTTATGACATGCATTACTCTACAGTGAGAGGTGGCAACATTCCATGGAACCCAATAGGAGAGACATTTCCGATGATATTTAGCAACACAAACAAAGAAAATGGTGTCCCCAGGGAGGTTTCAATTTACTGTTTGAGAAGTCCTTCACTAGACCAAAACCAGGGCTAAACTGAAAAAAATCCAGCGATCCCACGGGTTAAAGTTTAAGCAAAGTCCAGTGTAAATACAAATTCTGGAACAGAGAAGGAACTTTAAGGCAGAATAAACAGACTATGACCAAGTTTCTGGATTAACTTTGAAGAAGGAAACAAAAACCACTTTTAGGTGAGTTACACATTTTTGATGTTCTACAAAAATAGAAGTTATGAATGTGAGCCGAAAGCGTAGTCCTCCATGTCAATAGTAAACAACTGAAACAGGTGAAGGAGTTTAAATATCTTGGGAGTACTTTTTCTGAAAACGGGTGCATATAGAAAGAGAAATAGAAATGCGAACCCAAAAAGCCAAAACTGTCAACTACCAGCTCATACCTCTCCTATCTCATCTCCATGGACACAAAGAGACAGCTCATCACCTCAATATTCATACCAACATTATGCTACCAGTGCCAGACCTGGACATTAAGTAAAACCTATGAAAGCAAAATCACTGCATGCGAAATGAAATGTCTCCGCAAAACCCTTAACATCACAAGACGAGACAGGCAGAGAAATGAAAAAGTAAGAGCAGCTATTGGCATTGAGCCCTCCTGCATTACATTGAGAGAGAGAGAGAATAAAATGGTTTGGCCATCTGTTACGCATGTCACCTGACCAGCAAGCCTCGAGAGCCAACAACACCAAGCACTCAGGCTATAAAGGAAGAGGAAGACCACGCAAAAGGTGGATCGAGGGTGTCAAGGAAACCCTGAGAAAACATAATATTACAACTGAAAGAGCTGCAGAGCTGGCCTACCTTAAAAAACTGCATCTCCCATCGACAAAAGAGGATGAAAAAGTAAAAGTAAAAAAGTAAGTACAAAACCTTGGATATTCCTTGAGCAATGGTTTTTCAGACACATCTACAATACAGCACAAAATCCACAGAAGAGTGATGGGAGTCTTTTTAAAGGGCGAAACTCATGAAAATGAAAGTCTTTGTAAAATCCAGAACTTAAATTCAAAGATAGGAGCAAAAAAATAGGCGCCTTGGTAGTTTCTATAATTGTCTCTCATTTAGGAAGACACATTCATAGAACTAAATACAGAAACAAAGCATATTTTAATAGCAGAATGAGAGAAATAACACAAGAAAATATGACAGGATCAAGATTCAAAGCACAATAAGATGCTACAAATAACATGCGAAGCAACAACTTTCTAACCATATTTGTCTCGTCCCCTACACAATGTGTAATAAACAAGCACCTATTTTGTTCAAAGCTGCCCAGTCCGACTGACCACTGAAAATTGTATTATATCAGCTGACAATGTGATCAGCATTGTGTATGACATCACTCTTGGTTTGCATTTTAAACAGCTTATATTCTCTCAGCATAGTATGTTTCCATTCTGATGCAGTCTGAGTTATTGTTGCAAACATGAATTGGTCTGGTCTTTTGTCGGACTAAAAGTGTGTGCTCATGGATGTCAGTGGAGAGAGAGAGAGAGAGAGAGAGAGAGAGAGAGAGAGAGAGAGAGAGAGAGAAAGAGAGAGAGAGAAACAGAGAGAGAGAGGGAGGGCACTTTCCTCTTCTCCTTACTCTCTTACTCATCGAGAGAGGGGGAGAGAGAGAGAGAGAGAGAGAGAGAGAGAGAGAGAGAGAGAGAGAGAGAGAAAGAAAATTGGGAGAAAAATGTGCCTGAATGTGTTTTTGAGCAGTAGCCTTGTTATTATGAAGTGATCAATTTTGTCTCTGTAGTTACTCCAGGCCGAAGGGCTAGAAAGAACTCAGATGGCCGCTGAATCGGAAAAGTAAAGTTTCTCAAGTGAATAAACTAAAGCACATGATGAGCATTAGTTGTGGTGGGCATTTAATATTTTCACTTACTTAATATCACCATTTTCGTACTTTTTATTTCTATCTGCATTTTGATTTTTCTCTCCTTCAACATAAAGGCAAAGTAATAATTGGAGGAAAAAGAGAAACATTTAAGTCCGAATGGAAAGAATGTATTTTTTAACATTGTATAATGTTCTTGTTTCATCACATTAAGATAAAGCTGCTATAGTGCATTCATTGAAAGCTACTATTTTTACTTTTCAAACAAAAAACTGCTATCTCCTGCTTATTACCTACGCACAAAAAAAGTGAGAAATCTTTTATCAAATGTTTCTACATAGTGCACATAGAACAAGCAGCGTGCAACCACCATGAAACATAGAGCTGTTTCTTTATATAAAAAGAGCACAAAAGACCAAAAGACAAGCATATCCGCAAACCTTCATTAAAAGATCAACTTGGAAGCACTAAAAAAAGAAAGATTAAACACAAAAAGTGTAATTACCACATCTAAATGAAGCAACATAGGCCTGCTATGATATCTCCTAAATTCAGCAGGCAATCCAGCATGAGTATCATTTTGAAATCTGATACACACATGCAATGATCCGAAATATTGATAAAAAGAAACAATAGTGCAACTCTAAACAAATTGCAAAAATCAAAATGAAGTGTCAAGATAAAAATAAGCAGAATGTGGAAATACTTCTTTTACTGACCTCTGCTGATTCAAACCGCAATTGCTGTGCATTAAAGGAGAGCACATTAGAATTTGGTCTGGGATTGTACGAGTCACTAGCTATATCTAATAGATATCCATAATCATAACAGCCAGTTAACGTAACAGAATACCCTGAAAGGAAACCATCAAATGAGGTAGTATTCATAAAGTCCTAACCCTATTTGAATTACAATTGTTCTGTCAAACATCTCACATTTTTTTGTCCTAGCATCAATATGTTCACTATACCATATTGGCATTGAAACAAAAAAGATAAAAGCAGGACATGTACCAAAATAAAGACCGCTGCGGGTATGAGGTATTTCAATATGCAGGTATCTCATGAATCTAAAATATAGTGCTAAATCCAATTACCAATAGGACTCCCATTGCAAAAGCTGGGCAGAAATTAAGGCAATATAATCATAGTACCTCAACCTCATTTCAGAAACATTAATACTGACTGACAAGAAAAGAGCCAGATATCTAAAACAATTGCCCTTTTGTTATCAGTGGCAGAGCGTAGTGAAGAGTTTCATCCCTATATAAATGAATATGTTTCTTAATAAACTAAATATTATAATAAGTTGAAATTTTTGTGACTGCTTCAGAATCTTCCGCCTCCAGCTGCATGTAGTGAACACACATGACTTGCTCGTTTACCCCATTACTATTGTCACCGCTTACAACTATAGTATAGTGGTTAACAGCCAATCAAATATCTTAGGGCTCAACAAAGTGAGCCCATGCCCATAGGCCTTATATGCTCCTATAATAATGAAACTCTTCTTGGAAAAAAGGTAAATTAAGAAACAATAAACGAGAGCCCATGAAAACTGTTGTAAGAGCTTTGGGTTTGGTTCTGATCATTCTCTGCAAGCCCAGACAATGGGGGGAAAATGTTCATGACACACTTTTCCCAGACACCCGTAACCAAAACACGCTTTGGGAACTCGTCAGCTTGCTCTCTAGCAGAGCAATTTTCTAGACGGGTGTGAGTGCATGTGTAGGTATGTGACACAGACACACAAGCACACATACACAAACAAACATATTCATCCCATATATCTAGCATTTCTTCAGAACCGACTAAATATTGCCTTTGAACTCAACTTACCCTCATTTCTTAGCCCCGTACTCACATTTGATCCACCCAACATTATATTTATACGCTACCAAAATAGCGATATTTCAGAAAAAGTGAATCCAAATAAACCATACTCCTAACTTTTTAAAGAGTCACAATACTTATCCTCTGTTTCTGGCCTGCACGGTATTTCATTTTAAAAATAAAATCGTTTTAGATCTAATTCAATAATTCCTACTGAAGTAGATGAGGCTAGCTCAGAAGAAAATGTATCAGCCAATTGATCACTGAACGCACATAGCCTAATGGCAATGGTGTTAAATCTTAGCAAGAACGTAGAAGTTCCAGCGTCAATTACTTAGGGCCTATTCTGGCTAAAAAAACGCAGAAGTTCACTCACATGGTATCGCATAATTTCAGATTCCCCTCCAGGTACGGGCCCGATCGTTTTGCGGTGTAGCTGTAATGACTTCGGTGGCTGCTATAACCGCTAACTTCACTCGAAGCGTCCCCGCGACTGTCAGATCGAATTCGAAATTCTTGAGAGTCCTGGCCAACATCAAGAGTATCACCGCTCATTTTGGAAGAGCAAAAAGCAAAAATCTTAGATTCGGTTGCACACTTCCAGCAGCGTCGGTGGCGTCGTTACCTTGCCTTCATGTAAACTATCTCAGAGTGAGGCTGGGTTGAATCTATCTCTGCTCAAGAAAACTTCCTAATATGTCCGACTCTGTTTCCTTTGTGGAAGAGCACCTTACAAAGGGAGGCAAAAAAAAGCCTGCTGTTTATTCACGAATAAAAATCATAATATTAATAATTATAGTCTCTTTTGGGGGGTGCCGGTTCAGTTGAAGGTCAACCGTACTGTTTCTGATCAAATTTAAGGTTTATCGCCGGACTGGTCAGACGACAAGTTTAGCTGAAGGTCTATTAGTTTATCAATTAGATAGGCTTGGGACTTATGACTTGATTAAGTGCGGTAAAACTTCGTGGCCCAACGAATAAACACATTTCCTTAACTATCAAGCAAAGACTCCCCAGCTTTGGCACAATGAATTGTATCAATTTGTCTTAACAGACTGCAGCCTACAATATTTTTGCAAACACCTGTTAGCTGCATTCTACAAAATTCAAAAATGCTAATTAAAAATCCAAGAGGGTGATTTCTACATATAACAACACAAAAAAGCAAGTCCTTTTTTTCCAATCGCGACATTACGCTTATTGAAAAGTATGTTCTGTTGAAAACCTATAGTGCAAAAATGCGTGTTCACTATAAAATTAATTTCTTGTACAAGCATTATCACTAAAAACTGAAGTGTCAATGGTGAGCTGTACCATATTAAGAATGTGTTTGCAAAAATGTGTGTGAGAAGCAGGATCTGTGATTCCATTTTTCGCATGACGGACTAGATTTATGGAATTTTATTTTTAGACGTTATTAAGGAGTAATTAAAAAAAAAATCTAGCTTCAATTATTGTGGAAAAATGATAATAGGATAAAGTTGAGACAAACCGATACAAACAGCTTTGCAAAGTATGGGTGACATTGATTCCTCCGTTAAATAGACATTATAAATTGAGGATGTTGCGCCACGAATTTTTTACCTCACCGCTGTTGATGCTTTTGCGCCGGTCTCTGTAGCATGTTTTCAGCATTCTGCTTCTGTACCTGTGGCCAGTCTAGTTCATCCGTGTGTCTCATCTGTTCCTAGCTTGAGACTGAGGCAGCAATAGGCCTACCTTTGAGGGCTGGGGTGGCGGGTTGCTGGTATTAGAAGAAAAAAAATTGGTGTTCTACGGCGCTCACAACTGCATAAGGTCATAATATGAGCGCGAGGGACACATTTAACCTAATTTTCAGTTGGTAGGAAATTTTGAATTTTTCTTGGGTGACGGCAAAAGTCTACTCTTATCGATTTTAGACCACCAAGGGATCTTAACATGCGCAACTTGCACACGGGACCTCCGAGATTTTTTCGCCCTTGTTCGAGAAGGCTAGGTATCTTTCGTACCAGAAGATCAGGGGTGTGGTTGAAAGACAACAGTAAGAAGGAGCCAAGGAGTAGCAGTAGGTATGCTGTAGAAAGAGTAAGGATAGCCCAGAGGAGGAGGCAAATAAGGAGGTGAGGGGATGGGGGTAGAAAGTGAAGGCGAAAGCAAGCGACAGAATATTGCTAGAGAGCAGGAAAGGGGGTGAACGAGACAATTTTAGAGAAGGAAACTTTTCCGTCGCTACCCGGATTCGAACCCGGGACCTTTGAATGAGAGGTGAACACCTGAACCTCTAGGCCACGAGAGCCTCCGGCGGGTGGCTGTTAAGAAGGACAGTTGATGAAGCTTGAAGAATAGTGAGGTGAAAGGAGTGAGGAGGACATTTTTTTCCGAAGCTGCAATTTTGAGTAATTACTGCTTGTCTTGTAAAAATAAATAATTTTGACGTAAATGTAAGAGGTCACAGCTTTTTAGGGGCAAGGTCATGAGCTGTTTCCGTCTTTCAACCTGTTTTGGAAATAGTTTTTGTTGGGTATGGGGTCGGTAAAAGATGGGGATCAGTTTTACTGATCCCTGACCACTGACCTCTCATTAGGGCCTATGTAAGAAGTTAGTTTAGGAGGCTTCGAGGGGGGGGGGGGGGGCGTTGTGTCAAAAGCAGGTTTTGGGAAGTGCAGGGAGTGGTAGAATGATATGGGGTGACAGGACGTGTCCAGGGGGGACCTGGAATTACTGGCTCTTATCAACGGTTATCGGAAAATATCAAGTAACCCTAGTGTAGACTAACAACGCAAATCAATGTCACCGGTAGGTGAGACTGAATGCACATTATATTTCGGACAATTTGTTTTTTCTGCAGTGATAACAGAAAAACCCAAAGCTGGACGCTCCTTCAGGGAACGGGAATATGGGAAAAGTGAAAAGGCCCGCCTCTTGACTCATCCGGAGCAGATGACCCTGCAGGTTAAAAATTAACTCCGGCAGTACTGACACCAACACTAGCCTAGCAAAACCAACAATAATCTATATCCCCTC